CGGGGGGGGGGGGGGGGGGGGGGGGGGGGGGGGGGGGGGGGGGGGGGGGGGGGGGGGGGGGAGAGGACTGGAGCAACGACAGGCGAGCGAGCGGACACGATAAGATCGCGACTCGCGACTGGCCGGGGACAGAATTTGCCCCGGGGCGAGCGTAGACCAAGTGGAAGCGCCAAGGACTTGTACCGTTGGCTTTGAAATTTCAAGCGTCGAGCGTCTGTGGGACGCGACAAGCCGAGCATCCCTCCGGGAGGGGGGTGGGATGATTCCCATACGTCCGAGCGCGGAATAAATAATAGACGGCGACGTGACACGATCGTACGTCACGGATGACGAGGGCGGAGGATGGCGTGGGGTGAGCGGTAAAGGAAGGTGGGTGAGCGGGACTTGGGACAATTCTAGTCGAGTCTAGGACGAGACGATGGGAGGCCTAAAAAAACACGTGTATGCAAAATATAAAAGCACGCGAGTGAAACTCGGAGCGACACGAAGATACGAGGTCGGGCCTCGTAGTCCCGAGGGCCGACTGGATTAAAAAAGAAAATGAGTATGAGGCGATGCCGGCCAGGCGGGTAAGGCGGGGGGGAAGAAAGAAAATGGAAAAAAAGTGGTCGACGAGACAAGTGGGCGAGCAGCGAGTCAATATAGATAGCGACACCTCAATGCCAACGGGCGAGCGACGTGTGCGTCGGCTGGAATTCCAGCTCGTGCTCGACTTTCACTCTCGTCGGTTATCGCGTTCCTTGGCACGCGCGCGCGTTCGCACGCATGCGAGGCTATATGCGCTCCTCCCTCCGCACCACTCGCCTCCACGATCTCTCTCTCTCTCTCTCTCTCTCTCTCTCTCTATCTCTCTATCTCTCTATCTCTGTCTCTCTGTCTCTGTCTCTTCCAATGGCTATGGCTCTGGCTCGCTTTGTTTGTGCATGCGTGGCTGTGAATGTGCAGGCAATAAATAAATGTGGGCAAAGGTACTTTTATAACAAACCTAAGAGAGTGTGCGCCCGTGTCTCTGTTGGTGCTTGCTTGTATTAAAGCATAAATTGTATTGTTGATACATTGAGAGTGAGAGAGAAAGAGAGAGAGAGAGAGAGAGAGAGAGAGAGAGAGAGAGAAGACATTTACGTGTTGGTGAGTGCGTGCGTGCGTGTGCGTGACCTTAAAGGAGGGAAAGATTCAAGTTTAAATGTAATTCTCATGCTATGGTTTAATAATAACAGTAAATTTCTTGAATTAAATGATTACTTTGATATTACAGTTATATAAAAATTGATATTTAAGTGTGGCATTCCGGTGTAGGGAGATGATTGCGCATCGAAACGTATATAAGCTTTAGAATGTGTATCACATCATCAATGTGAAACTGAATGAAAATACCTACAGAGTATTATTTATCAGACGGAAGATGGATTATGAATTTTCTCGTGCATCGCTTGGCTGCCATTTTCGCGCGACTTTCGAAATTTCGAGATTCCGAGAGCTATTCGAAGCTTTCGGCGTTCGTAATATTCTATTGGATAGAGACGCGATGTATTATCGTGTAGAAAACAGGAGACGATAAAAATCCTAGGTCCTCTCGTGAA